GGTCGCAAGAGCAACAGAGAATTAATTTATCTTTTTCTGTATTCTCTTCTTATTTTAATGTCAAGTAATTTGACTTTTAGTGAAGTTTTTCACGTGTTTCAATGATTTGCTGGATTGTAATCAAATGTATCTTTAAGGTATAATAAATGAAAAAAGTTGTTGAGAAAGAATAAGGCTTAAGAAATGAATACTAAAGATGTGTCTTTCTAAATTTAATCATTTTACTTTATTTGTTAAAGTTAATATGTTTTAAGCGCTACATAAAATATAATTTGGTAAAGATATTTTATATTTTTTCAGTAAACAGTGAGAGAGACTGGACCTTGGTTTGTACTCAATTTTGATTTTCAGCCACTTGTGTAAATGAGTTTGACACACCTGGTATAAATGAACTGAAACTGTCAAATGAGAAAACATTTATTCCTTAGGTATTTGGCAAAAGCAATAAATTAAAGTGTACTACATGCATGTGTAAGGAATTTAAATCACAGAGAAAGATGTCTGAAAAGGAACTGGAAAAACCTTGAGTCCACACAGAGAGTTAGGTTAGATCATATGCAACCATTGGTTTTATCTGTGCCAAAGTGAACAAAAACACAAAGACGGCAGTGTCCAAACATCAAGCATGTGTTTGAACAGCGTTTCAAAAACATTTTATAGTAGATTCAACAATGCCAGACCTTTGCAGTGGTTATTGTCATAAGAAAAGTGCTTTTTTAAAATGACAAAAATATATATATATATAATTCTCTGGCTTCTTGGAAGAAAAATACACTAAAATGAGAGGAAACTTTGGCACAAAAAACAATTTGTCAAACACGTCCATTTTCCAATAGCAAAAAAAAAAAAATTTTTTTGTCATTTTTTACCCTTGACAATTCTTTATATGTAACTTTTTCACAAGTTTAAGAATATTCAATGTAGCTTTAGAGCCGTGAAAGAGTTCTTTTCAGAAACTGCCAACAATTCAAGGAGTTACAAGAGAGAAGCAGTGCTACCGCTTTGCAGATATTATGATTTAAACCATCATCATCATCACATCAGTGAATGTATTAAAAAGAAATTATTAGATGTAGAGATGAAGGTTCAATAAAAATGTTTTCTTTAGAGGTAAGGCTGGAGAAGATCTCTTGAATCGTCAAAGAATTGCTGCTTTCTGTTCAACTCTAAGTTGCTTTCTTCAAACCTTTTACTATTTCTATGTCCACATTCTTATAATAATTATATTATATTATGCAAAAAATTCATTTTAATTTCATTTTATACCCTGACCTCCTAGGTTCCAAATACAGAATATTTCAAGATGCGTTAAAATCATCCCACACAGAGAATCTCCAGCTGTGAGAAGCACATGTGGGCAGACAACATACACAGTCTGGGTGTAAATACTGCTCAGGTTCGTTTGCTGAGAAGTTTTAATTTGCACGTTTTAAATAAAAAAATCGTTATCAGTAATGGATTTTTATTTTCACTAGTTTGTTGTGAAAATTGTGGGATTCAGATTGAGTTCAGTTTTTGCCAATTTTAGGAGTTGTTTCTTTTTAACTTGTAACAGCCAAGAAATCACAACACAGACCACTTCCTCCTGACATGTAACCGGATCTCACCTGGACATGGATTTAGTTTGCAGATAAGGACTACTTCTGGCTTCTCGCCCTCACATTCTCCAGCCGTGTTGTCGCTGGCCTTGCATACAACCTGCCTTTGCTGAATCCCCTCGCCACAGGTCACCGAGCACTGTCACACAAACACACAAAAACAAAAGGTGCGCTTCCATCAGATCAGTGAATTTGATATTTCTGTACGTTTATTCCTGGAGACTTCTATAACAGCTGAACAAAACCAGAGCATGCAACATAATTTACTCAATGTAACATTTTCCAACCAGCTTTGTGGGGTAAAAAAAATGCTTCCTTCACCCTCTGTGCACCTGCGTAGACACATATATTCATAGCTTACCTCTAAAGCAGAGTGCACTTGTTATGAAGTGTTACTTTGCACATATTCATGCTGGAGGTTGTTCAAATTCTGCAGCAGAAGAGGCCAGGAGCATATGTAAAGTCCTGCTTCTCACCCCAATTACTCTAGTTTTATATTCTAGCATATGATGGATGTTGAATATAAGGCACTCCCAGTATTTAATATGTGTGTAAAAAAATTCACCAGCAGATACAGACAAGAAAAACTGCCTTCAAAGATAGTTTATCTATAGCGATTTACTCTGTTTAATCTCTTTACAAACATTAATATTAAACCCAATCATAAATCATGATTTAAAAAAACTCATGTTAAATTTTAAAGTTACTTTAAAAACATTTTGGGTTGACCTTCACTTTGTTGTATATTTAAGTAATAACTGCAGATTGCTTATTAGTATGAATAATCCAAACAACTTATTGCATAGAAAATGCCACTGCTGGTGATGTGCAGATCAATACTCTAATATTGATACCACCAATACCAAAACTTTATGTTCAAATRTCGATTCTAAAATCAAAATATTGACACTTTGATRCTTCAGTCATTTCCGGTAATGTACATCATWAACAGGAACACAGTGGAAAGTAGCTAAACTACTGAAATCTTGTCTAAATCATTCACAGTAGGTGGGAACTACTTTTTCTTTCGCCTGGGTAAGCACAGCGGCACATGCTCAGTCAATCAGTCTATGTTATTTACATGTTCAGTATGTTTATGTAACATAGTTTAAAAAGTAAGTTTTCATTTTTATAGTAGTTTTTTTTTTATAATTAAACAAAAACTAACTCAATTATTTAACTATTTTACTTCATTTTGTTATTGTGTCATACATAATTTTCACATATTTTGTAGGTGTCCTCTGTTTGATTTTTCTGTTGTATTATATCGGCTATATTGCAAATGAGGACGCTACATCGATATACTTCAGAGTTTTAAGTGAAAAATGAAGATATGATTTAAAATTCACTTTATATATGTATACACTACAGTATATATATACTGTATATAAGAGAGATAAGATAGATAAGATAAAACTTTATTGATCCCACCATGGGGAAATTTGCACATTACTGCAACTCACTACAGGAGAGGGTGAGAAGAATAAAGAAAGATAAATAAAAGAAAACAAACAAACAAAGCCCCCCACAATATGCACATGTGATATACTGTATATAATGTATATATACCAATGCACATATACACATATACATAAACACATATGCATATACATTTATATACATATATACTGTATAGTACAGTAAAAAATATATATTGTGCATTTGCACAAAGTATCAGTATTAGATCAGTTTCACCGATGCTGGTATCAGAATGGGTCAGGAAATCGGTGCTAGAGAACATCACTACTTTCCACAATGTTTGTTATGAAGAGGGAATATAGCCTAAAATACCTAAACTATTTGTTGAAACAGCCATCAGACATGTTTAAACCAGATCTTAGAACTGCAGTTTTGACTTCTTTCCCATGAGCTAAGGATTTTGGACCAAGGGGGTCACTGTATGGATCTGTTTAGACCTGTCTATAAGTTTATGCTAACTGGGTAAAATAATCAGTTTTTTATTTTTCCATTCTGGCCATTTATGCAGTGAAAACAAATACATTTAAGTAAATAATAAACCTATTTCTAAGAGTGTCAATCAAATCTGACAGATGAAGTTCCACACTAACAAGCACACATTAACACTACCTGCTACAGTTAGCAACAACAACCAGTTGAACTCATTTTTGTTATGGTTTGTTACCTGAGACCACGCCCCCGTCCTCCACTGGGCGGGGCACACAGTGTAGTTACACGCTTTCCTCATTTCCGGCCGACCGGCAGTGCAGTGTTTGCTGTGGACGGGCCGGTTTGTGCCATTGTGGAGCGCCTGCATGCACTGCACCACCCTGGTCTGGTAGCCCAGCTTCCCACAGGTTTTACTGCAGGGGCTCCAGTCTTCTACCACCCACCTTTTAAAGTCAACATGTTTATCTATTAGTTATATTCATACCAATGTGGGAATGATGCTGCAGTAACAGCAGACAATAATGGCAGTACTTCGATGGTTTATAGCTGCAGAGGACTTACGTTGGTTGGCTGCACTCTTGCATGTTGCAGCGTTTGCGGATGGGCTTGGGCTTTTTACTGGTTTCACAAAAGTTGCGATGTACTAAACGGCTGTCACTTTTCCTCCTGCAGCCATATTTTGTATACTGTATGCCTAATAAAGGTACAAGTGTGCATGGTGAATATTCCAGCAAACTAAAAAGTCAAACTAACTAAGGAAATAATCTTATACTCTATATTACATCAGAGATTGAAAACCAGAAATCTGTTATTAACCAGAATGTTTGAAGACTTGGAGACATTTCCAACTAGAGATTTTCCTAGTAGAACAGTCAAAACATTGCTTGTCTTATTACATAGAAGTTTGTCTTTAAAACTGGGGGGAAAAAAGCCTTCATGATTTCTTATCAATCAGACAAAACATATACAAATGAAAATCAAAACTATAATAAGAGTCTGACCCACACATCAGGTTTTCGCAGCTGTTTGTCTGAACACGATGAGTTGTAACATTATTATTATTATTATTATTATTATTTATTAATTTTTTTACAGAAAAAACTTACTGACCTCCTCCACATGGCTTGGAGCACTGGGACCAGCTCTTCAGAGCCCATTCATACGTGTCCAGTTCAGCAAGGAGCACATTGTTGTTCGTAATAAGCGGCAACAGGTCCTCATGGATTATGTATTTATACGTCAAGCTAATTTTTACATCTTCCTGCATTGGAATGACCTGCAGCAAAGCAGAGAGAAGTTAATAGGAACAGAGCAAATAAAATCATTGTGAAGTAAAAACAGAAGAATGACTCACCAGAACTACGATGGCTTCGTGCAGAGGACCAGTTGTTTTTAATGTCTCCCTCTGATCATCGGACGAATACTCCCACTGTAGACCGTTTTCAATGAAGGTCTTTGATTCAGCGTCATCGCTCTTTTCATTTAATATGAAGTTCTCAGTAACCTGATTTTTCACAGCTRTCAGTAAGAAAGACAAATATATTCAGGATTATAACTTAAGGGGAAAGAATATGTTTTTAATCGAACAGGAACAAAATTAAAATTCACCAAATTGACCAGTTCTACACCAAACACCTCTGATATTGTTCTTTTTTTTATTACTCACCAATTATATGAGGGGAGGTCTCATTCTCCTCAATGGTTATGTGGCGAGCTCCCATTGGGATGTCAAACATTTTCAGCATTCCTAACAAAAAAGATAAATACATGAATGTTTGACTATATGGGACGCCAAGTGTAAAATAAAATGTAAAAAAAATTAAAAAAATTTAAAAATGTATTTTACACTTGGCCCCCTGTACAGGTAAACAGAAAGAAGTTTCTGGGTCCTAAAACCAATAACTAGTGATGTGATAGTAAAAGTGAGATTAATTTATCAGACAGTTACCGTTCATTTTGGGGGTCTTGGTGAGCGTGAGCTTCACAGTGCGACAGTGGGAGTTGYCCCCCTCACACACTCCACATTTGTCCTCCTGTTTATAGGAGCCGACCTCCTTGTCACAGCCTGCGTGCTGCAGGGAAACAGCAAAAGGCCGTCGGTCAAATCGGAGCAAGTTGACGTGCAAAATCCATTCTCGCTCCCGACTCGTCACATATCGACATTTGGYCCAGATTCCCTCTGGTAACCCCCTCGTGTCATTTATTGACACGATGAGAATAAGGAGGAGGAGCCCCTTGTGATGTTTTTGAAAAGTGTAGAAAATGCACGACAACTAACTGTCCCAAACTCTAAATTTGACTTCTATTAACCCTAGACATCCTATCCCTGACCTCACTACTAGGGGTGCAACAATACATGCACCCGTATCGAACCGTTCAATACACACTTGTATCGAACAATACAGATTTTTAAATTTTATTTTATCAGCTTATCTTCTGAAGATGCTCTGTGTTGAAGAATCAGTGGATCTGCATTCGATCACTCTATCTAGGCTACATTGTCGAGTGCAGATTCACTGAGAAACTTGCCTCTTTTTYGTATCGAAAAAATATCGAACCGTGAGACTAAATTATTGAACCGAACCGAATCATGAATTTTCTCTATCGTTGCACCCCTACTCACTAGGGTTGGGCAATATTGGCAGAAAATAAATCACGATTAATTGTGGTATTTAGTCGATAACGATTAATTTGACGATTAATCCCCTGGAGTCCCGGGACATCCTTATGTTCTAGTCACATGACCAATTTAGTGGGAAAGATTTGCTCTTTGTAAAAATCTGTTACAAATTGTGTCAAAATTAAAGACTTCAAGCTATACATCAAATTTTAAATTGTGTTGATAAATAAAGAAAATTACAGAACCTTTTTTTTATGTTTGTCATATTTGAAGCAGAGAGGAGCACCAAGCGAACGCTGCCTGGTGGCATTAATCGTATTAATCGTCAAGTGCCAAAAAAATAATCGATTAATGTTTTTCTGACGATTAATTGCACATGATACGATTATGCCCAACCCTACTACTCACTACCTAAAATTAGCCATTAACCCTGATCCCTAATATTAAGCATGGACCCCAACCCAAAGACCCTATGTGGCGCGAACCCGGAAAAGCCCCGTGCTTCAATAACTGATGCGAGCGGGTTACCCAACGTGTCAAAACCTGACGCAGAGGGAACCTGGACAAGTGTCAATATGTGACGAGTTGGGAGATGTGCAGAGAAAATGATGTCATGTGTGACAGAAACTCTCAGACACAACAGGGCTGTAGTCAAAACACAGAACTTCGTCCTGCAAAGATTAAAGTCTCAACTGAGTGTCCAAGGTGAAATGTGAGATATAACAAAATCTGTGTTCAAGACATGGTATTGAAAATCTTAAATACAAATACACAAATACGCATTTTACACTACAATGAAGGAGAGTACATGTTTAGTTTTTTTATACTAGAAAATGCAGTTAAGATGGGCTTTCCCAGAATCATAGATTGTTTCTTTATGTTTGCCTTTATGTTCTCAGAATGATCCTTTTGGTTCCACTCACCAGACACTCCCCTCGAGCGCACACACTGAAGGGGTCCGAGTAGCTGCACTTTGTCCCATCGTGCATCACCTGGTTCATGAACACCACCTCTCCTGTTTCCTTTGACTTACAGCTCAGCTCACATTTACGGGCCTCTAGAACCACCCCACCCCCAAAAAAGAAAATCATTTATACACTTTGGTACAGCAAAAACGCTTTTCAGATCGGAAAGACGCATCTGCAGATAGTTATGTAACACCTAAGTGAATCTGAACACAMGTGCCAAGAGACACACCTGTAAATATCATCTACGAATGCTTTGTGTTGCATAAAACATAAAACATTTAGGCAAACTGTTACAGACTCACCATCTGGGTGCTCATATGGTAACCATGTGTGCTTGATGTTGTTGTGGTACTTGTTGCTCCTCTGGATGCACTGCTGAGCACGGAAGTCCTCGTATGGGCCAGCGCACTCCTCCGTGTTACACATCTGGTAGTCAAAAGCAGAGCCAGGGCAGTCCCGGCCACCGTAGGCGGGCCTGACCGATGACAAAAACACAACGCGATGAAATTCCTTGGCATTTTAGCATCCTTTAGGATCCAAAAGTACATTTTTRGGAGAGAAACAGTGTGTACTAAAATTCCAAAAGCTCAAAAAGGAAAGAAATAAACTTCATTTCATCAACATCAAGTTATGATAAACTGAGGTAGATTAAAACTTTTTTACATTTAGCCATTGGTTTGAGCCCTACACAAGGTCCTTACTAAGAAACAATTTYTGAACTAAAACACAGTTTAAGAAGCTAATTTTCACTCCGACCCAAACCGTATCTTCTACTCTCCTTTGCCTGATGATATTTTGCAGATTTCCCCACAGACTTTTGATGAATAAACCRTTAGGGCCTTTCCAAAAGCATTATCGTGACGTCAGTCCTAGCAAATTTAGCACCCTAGGCAAGMTTTCAGGTGGCGCCCCTTGTGCAGTTTTCTAAAYCTCACTGCAAATGTATTCACAGACCAAAATTTAAAAAGTTTTGTCTTTGAAGTTATTTTTTATCTTTAGAAACCAGGTTGTCTTATTAAAACAGCTACCGATATAATTAATTTGAAACAGAATATACCTGCCAACATCTGCGCCCCTGGGAGTTATGATCGTGTGACAGAAAATTAGCAAAAACATTATTATCACTCTGAAACCAAAGCAGTAAAACACAGTTACTGCGTTTAGAAGAAGCTTGACAGCCAGTTGCAGTACCTCAGATCATATTTGCAGTTGTCTTTGCATCTTATGGATTGTTTTCTACAGAGCTTTTTTATAATAATTCTAATTTTTAGAGTATATTTTTATGCTAATTAGGACGATGCACTGTGATATTGCCACGACTTAACATCTTTTATGTTAAACAACATTAAAAGTGCCAACAAAATAGTCTTTTTTACAGAAGCTTTGAACTGAGCCAACTGTCCAAAGGTTTTTTTCCTCCTTTTTTTGTAACTGAGGCCATGTTTTCCTAAGAATAATMTAAAACAAGTCTGCTGTCCAACTTTCCGTTTGCACGTTCAAAGTGTTCTAGCTCATGGATGAACACAAATCATTAAAAATAAAAATCTGATTTCACTACTGCCTACATTGATACTTTACAACATGATGTCTTCAAGATCAGTGTCCTGCTACTAAAGCACTCACGGTGGATTGTTGCACTGTCGGTTTCGGGAGCGAACTCCACCTCCACACGTTCTGGAGCACGAGCCGAACTTTGACCAAGCGCTCCAGCTTCCATCGTGTCCCTGAGGCTCCTGGCTGGACCTCCAGATGCAGTGGCCCTTAAAGCACCACTGCATATGAAAAAGGAGACAATATCAGCAAAAAAGCAAATAAAAAAGGTAAATTTGTCATGGAACATGACAATTGGATGCTTTGAAAATGCTTAATGAAACTTGTTTTTTATTTTATCCTCAGAGAATTTTATTTTAAAATCATACTGTAAAAGAAAATACTGATGACATTTCCTACCTTTCCTGGTGCACACTCTGTCCCATCTACAGGAGGGCCTTTTTTGGTTTTGCAGAAGTACTGGTTGTCAGGGTGGCTGCACCACAGCTGCTTGCACGGGTCATAAGTTCGAAACTGAACCAGAAACACAGATTTAAGCTTCAGTTAGTCAAGCTGCTCTGATGGGTCAAAAYTTTGAGTTTTAAAGCTGATCAGCAGGACTTACAGCTGTGCACATTTTATAACCAACGCCGAAATCAAAGCGGCACTGCTCATCCATTGAATAATTTATTCCAGGAAGCTCGGGCAGCTTGGGCCATTTATGTTCAAAAGGATCATCCAGGAGGCAGTCATAAGAGCTGTGGAAAAATTGAGAGTAATGCAGTCATCAATGTGACATAGCCTGAGGAAATTTTGGAAACCAGTCACAGCATAAACCTRTTGTGGGACTGGGGAAGAAAAGATAAAAGAGTGGGACTGACGAAGCAGAACGTACTGGATGTATCTGTTGAGCTCCTGTTTGCTGCAACGGGACCAGTGGTAACGATGGAAAGCTGCTTGGACAAGTGGCGCCATGATGCTGCCCATACTGGTCTCGTCGGCGCAACGGTTCCCCTGACCATCGTGCTCCATGCCCAAACTGACAAAAATAAAAATAAAACACAGGCTCATGAGACAATGCTGCACGCAGAGAATGAAGAAAGTGTACGACTTTAAGTACGGGCTTCTATTTCTTGTTTCATCCCAAATAGTCTAAGCCCTCCCTTGGGTTTACAAAAAAATATGTTTATCGCATTTTGTGAAATTTATAACAAATGCCAAACAATCTGGAGAAAATCCCTTAGACAACTCCATTCATTTAATCTTTCATTGCACAGAATGATTGACAGGTCAGCCTGTGGCCACAGGGTTTAGGGTTTAGCTAATGAGGGTGGACATAAATTGGCGTGCCTCGTATGTGGGTGTGGTTTGGCGCAGACGACAAAGGTACAATGACGAGCAAGAMTAACATAAACGAGGTGGATTTTTTCATGTCTCACTCATTTTTTTGTCATGTCTTTGGAGGACAAACTGGAAGTGAAGAGGTTGGAGGCAGACAGACCAAAGGACCTGGTTTCAGCAAAAGGAACAAGGACAGCAAGTGCTGCTAACAAATCTCTTTTCTGCTTTATGTGCAGGGACGGACTGGCCATTGGGAGTACCGGGACTTTTCCAGGTGGGCCGGCACAGCCAGCGAGGAAAGAAAAAGTTATGTAGTTRCACTCAATACCAGTWGATGGCGATAATGCACCAGTTCATTGTTTACCAACTACCAACAAAGACAGAAGAAGARGAAAAGTTTGCTGAAGGAGAGGAAGAAGAAGTAAGAAAAAGAAAATGAATTATAAAAAATAAGAAGAGCAAAAATGGAGGATAAACCTAAGGGAGGATAACAAAAATTGAGAGAAAAGAAAAATCATCTACAAGCAAATTCAGCCAAGTGTCAGAAACTGACATTTATTTTCTGCTGGTGCATCATCCTCATCCTCACTGGAACCTATGTCTGGAGAACAACGTGACCGGGAGGAGGATGGTAGTCATGAAGGTGGCTGTATTTTTTATTAGTTTGCTAACTTTTAAAACAATGCATTTAACTGTTAAATAAATAAAGCCATTATGTGGGGACTAGGTCCAAACTGTGCTCAGTAGCTGATGATTTTATAAAACTGTTGCTTAAAATGTTTTAACATCAGTTTTAGAAATTTACATCACAGATTGGCATTCTAAAAGACAAAAATCATAAATGTATGTGGGTTTCAAAAAATAACTTTGCCCACTTGGAT